ACCGCTTGAATAGTCTCCAATTGCTACAACTCACTGGGAAGACAGGACAGTTTGGAGGACGGGGTACTTTTGAGTAGAGAGCTCTGTTCTCTTCTACCACCTCCCATAATTTTGGTGGAAATTGGTGTGTTTATTGATTAGCACTTCTTCCAACTTGAATCATATAATTTAATTATACAGGTGTCACAGTGGAGGAAGAGGGTGACTTATTGGTGTGGTCATGTTGACCGGGGAGACCTGTGAGTGAGCGTCATTCCTGTATAGGCTGCAATACCTTATGAACACGTGGGATATGTGGTACAAATGTGTTCCCTTAGAAGATTGTTCTTAGACAGTAAGTAGGGAACACATCACCTTTCAGAGCAGCTTGCTCATGTCTGTCTTGCAAATCACAGATAGAAACCGTAATTGTTTTTGAGGAATGGCTGTGTCCCAAGCACCAAGGTATCCAGAGATGAACTCCAGACCACCACACGGCACCTTTCTGGTAGAGAGCTTACCAACTCTCTCGGGGGTTATTGGGAGACAGGGACAGACAGAAAAGGCGTGGAGACAGCCATCATTCCACACGTGACATGGGTGTCCATCGCCCCGATTTTTCCACTCCAGGTGGCGTATTCACAGGGCTACTGGAGAAAGGTGGCTGCTTTTGCATTTGGGAAGTGTTTGCTTTACCAATCAGACCACACATGAGTAACAGTGAAAGCTCAGAGGGTGTGAAGAGGTGCTTGTCTTTCCTTTTTGCCAAACCCACTCACTTCAGATCATTTCTTTGTCCCGGGAATTGAGTCCCATAATCACTGCCCACTTCCATAAGGGCTGCTCTCCTTTGGGGTTCCACGCCTAATCTAACTTCCACGGTGTGTTCCCTTCACAGCTCTACTTTTTGCACAAATTGATTCATTCAGCATTTGCTGTGTAATGTCCTGGTATCAATAAAGCAGTCCTGTAATAAAGCAATCTTAGAACGTCTACTACTCTCTTGCAATCATTGAATATATAGATATGCCATGATGTTGTGTCTATTTTTTAATACATCTCATAGTTAAATCTACTTTAAGACAGGAATCTATTCTTTCTCTTAAATAAGCATGCATTTAAAAATAGAGAAACCTGAAAACTAAACATTAATTGTGTAACATGTGTGTCCCTATTAGAATGTAAGTATTATATTAGAGTGCTAACAAATGCATGACACATATCAATATGTGGTGTATTTTTTCTTTACCATATATTATTTATCAGAAACCTGTGTACCTTTTCCTTTAAAGGAGTCAATATTCATTTGTATTCCATGCTGACAGCTACAAGTTGATGACTAGCAGTTATCAAATAAATGTGGATGAAAAGCAGCTACTTAACATTTTCATCCCAACAAAGAGTTTTGGAAGAGTGGGTAATTTAGATCTGAGGGCCTCAACTATAAATAAACAGCAACTGCTTTCTAAATCCCACCTTTCGGCAGTTGAAGATCGTGCTGCAAATCTGACAAACTATTTCTGAAAGAGAATGATGAACCCTTATTACCAAGATACTCTTAACTTAATCCCAAACAAGATTCCTGGGTAATTTTACATACACTATAAAGATTGATGGCACAGTTCTCCTCTGGCAGCTCACAAATGTTTGACTAGATCGGAAATGGCATTCGGGGATGATTAAAGATTCTTACGGGGCTTCCCAGAAATTCTCAGTCTTGTGTCGTCAACACCCTAACTCATTGCCGTTGCTATGGGATAAAGACATCTCTCCCCAGTTCCCACGATTAGCAACTGCGTGCAACCTACAGGCTCCTGACAAATTGTTCTAAAAAATTGTTTGAGGGAACACCATAGCTCCAGCTGGTGTTTATATGTCAAGGTATTATTATTTTATCACAATGGATCAGGAAGCAACAGTGATGACTGGCAAGTGATTGCTTCAGATACTTTACAACAGAGCTGTTAACATGATTTTCTTTATATGGCTCTTTCATCTTTTCTGAATTATGTACTGATGCCCCAAAAAGTGGCCTGGAAGTCACCTGATGGTGATTAAAGTGCTCTTAAAAAAATTTTTTTTTTTATCAGTTTAAAAAGGCTTTCTCTTGTATCAGCAGTACTGGCTTGTTTACTAATGAGATTTCACTAATGTGGCTCAGTCTCATTTTGATGATATGCAGACCAAAAAGCTGATGAGCCACAAATAAGAACTGGTTATTAAATTGTTGTCACATCTGATCACATAAAGATGTCACTCAGAGGTTGCCACTGGTACTGCTGAAAAGAATTCCCCAAGAAGCCAAAAGGGTAGTCGGCATGGGACCAACAAGATATTGTCACTGCTTAATTGTCCAGCAAGGGAGGAAAGGAAAGTTAGTACCAAGCATGCATCCAAGAGAGAGAGTTTACTGTATGTACTCAATGGATCTTTGGAGTGGAGAAGGTGGTCTTTGCTTTCAGGTGCTTCCCCATCCCCAACTGTGTTCTTCTACAAAGCCAGAGCCCCTTGTGATGGAGTTTGGATTGTGTATCACCCCAAGCCTAGTGGCAAAGGAATCCAAGCCAGCTCTTGATTAAAAAAAAAAAAAATGGACTTTCCTAGAACGTATGGTTTTCAGGATGGTCACCAAATGTAGGTTTCCATGAAATGAGGCCAGTTGCAATGGCTTTCAGATCCCGGGGAGGGAAAATGCATGCCCCCAGCTCCCTCACCATCTCGATTCTGAATCAATGCGACTGCAGAACTTCTTCGCAAAAATACCATTCCAACAACGCAAGAGTGCAACATGACATCATCTTAGAAGGTCATGGTGGCAAAATATTACATTGGGTTGGGAAGAATTCGCTTTTTGCTTTCCCAAGCGGCCTCCTTTGGTCCTTTCTCAGGATTAGCAGAATCATGAAAGGCTGGTCTGTCATGATGCATGAACGCCGATATTATAACCCCTCTGGCACTGGGGGAAGCGGGGTCTGTATTTGGTTTGAGCTGGCGGGATTCTCACCACTTGGGAGCTGACGGCAAGTCACCTGACTGACCTCTTTGGTGGTTTTGGCAGCTGCAAAGCGAAATGGAAAGCTCTGACAGATCTCTAGAAATATTTGCAAAACATCATCCCCACCTGAACTCTGCTAAGAACCCAGGCCAAGATGCTGTTTGGCTTGAGTTAGCTAGGTGAGCATCTCAATTCTCTGATTTGTCTTAAGAGGTACTTTTGCTTCCCTTTTCCCCACATGGGATGCAGAGGAGTCAGATAAACCATGCAAAATTGTTTGGATAAATGTGCCAGGTGCTAAGCTCAGGGTTATTAGGAATAATAATTTAGTGAAAGGAAATTTGGATGACATGAACTTATTTCCATTAGACTTGAGCCACACAAATCAATTGGAAAAGAAACAGCTGAATCCAAGGTAACAACTGGCTATTTGGAGTGGGCATGGAAATGGTACAGGGGTTGGCACGGTAACTAAGCAGTTTCTACATAATTAAGTTCAAGTCATGTCAGTTGTTCAAATTCTGGACTCTCAGGACTTGTCCGAGATCGTCGAGCAGAGAGTTATTATCAAAACCCACGTCTCTGTCTCACTCACGGTCTGTGCCCCTCCCACAACCACTCACTTGACCGCACTCGACCACTCGGTTCTGAGACCAGCTCCAGTGTGACTGCAGACCCTGACACCGAAGCCAAAACCACCACCACCGCCAAAAACCCATCCGCTTTGTAGCACTTTCCTCAAATCGTAACAGCTTGGGACCCTGGTTCTCAGAATGGCCGTGGCTCCCAAAGACTTGAGAGTGCAAGCCAACCCCTGGGGGAGATTCTTCTCCATCAAACACTCTGCTTGGGCACAACTTAAACCCTGTAGGGGTAGCAACACGGTCAGCTTTGGGTGGGGATGAAAACCCATTTCCCCCACCACCAAAGGTCCTTAATGTTTTCCTAATAGCCACCTTATAGTCAGTTCCCTCTCTCGGTCCTCTCCCGATCAGCTGATAATTAGTTGGTGCAGCAAGGGCTGTGATGCACATAAATAATCATAAGATGCCAGATAAACTGTATTGGTTTTAAATTAGAGCCGCGCCTACCGTGTCTCCCTATGAACAGCAGCCTATTATTTTTAATTATGGCTTGCAAAGCAAAGTGATTTCTTGCCCTCTTTACAGCGTCCCTGACAGTACTCTGTCAGTCCGGATGATATGATGCCCCATCAGCGCACACATCCCTAGCCACAGCCCCGAGTGTTCCTCAAAAGCTGAGACCGGAGTGATCCATGACAGCCCTTGCAACTTGCATTTTCAAGTGGGCTGGGAAGAAATGGACCCCTTAAGCCACAGTCTCATTGTAAACGGGCAACTTTGACATTTAGAAAAAGGTTTTCACAGGATCTAGATGAATGAATCAAGGTGTGACGTGTCTACGGGAGGTGTGTAGCTTTGGCGGCGGGTATGCTTATATGTGTGTGTGTTTTAAACGTTTTGACACAGCATCGCAAACCCTTCCCCTAGCAGCACAGGGGCAAAGAATAAAGGAAAGGTCTGGCCCCAGCCCCACTTGGATTTTCTACCTGATGGACCATAATTGAGAGTGGTTGGTTCAGTTCAGACAGAAGGTTCTATAAACATCTTGGTGTCAAATTACATTCCACGAGAAGAAGTCCAGGGGTTGCATGAATTTGCTCGTGCGTTCAGAAGGAGATCATCTTTTTCTCTTCGCGAGGAAGAGGCGCCTGCCGTGATTTATTGACAGGTGTATTTATTTTCGAAGCCTTTTCCTAGACGGGGTGTCAAAAGTCACACCCGCTTTACAAGCAGAGTTTATGGACTCATTTTTCCAGGATGGTCGCGTCCTACGTTTTACAGTCGTATGCTTCGAGTTCAGTCCCCTTTGCCACGCCAAGATTCAGCCGCAACTGAACCAGGTGGGGGAGGCTTGCTAATTCCCAGCCAGTCACCATGACATTTCCTCACCCCTTTTCTTAATTTTTTTTTTTTTTTTTTTGTCTTTCTTCTTTGATTTCCAGCAACAGGGAGCTGCCACCACTGTCTACTGCGCTGCCGCCCCAGAACTCGAGGGTCTGGGAGGGATGTATTTCAACAACTGCTGCCGCTGCATGCCCTCGCCAGAAGCTCAGAGCGAGGAGACGGCCCGGGCCCTGTGGGCGCTCAGCGAGAGGCTGATCCAAGAGCGACTTGGCAGCCAGTCCAGCTAGGGGGGCTCGCGAGGATGGGCGCACACACCCGCCCCGTGTGCGTGCACACGCGCTCGCCCAACTGCCAGCACTGGGCCCCTTCCAGCTGTATTATCCAGGGGGTTTCCGTGTCCCTCCAACACGGATCCGCAAGAGTAAAGGAAACAAGAGCAGTCACAACAGAGTGAAGAATGTTAAGTACCAACGGGAAGCAGGGAATTCCAGGGGTAAAGGGACAGGATCGCTTTTCTGGGGCTGGGTTAGGCATAGGTCCTTTTGCTTTTTGGTGGTGGCCTGTTTGAAAGCGAAAGCTTGGTGGGTACGTGGGTTCCTTCTCTCCCTGTAGAGGCACAAGCAATTCTCTCTGTCTCGCTGTTAAGAATAACTCAGTGTCCCCTTGTCCTACCCAGCTACCACCACGGCCACCACTGTAGCCAGGGGCTGGCTTTCTCCTATTTAGGGAAGAAAAAGCAATTCTCCTCCATCCTTGCAGCATTGATCCAGGAGGTAATTGTTTCATTCATCCTGACCAAGTCTGAGCCGGCAACGACTGGGGAGAGAAATCTCAGAACCTTGTCCCAGCCGGCCGGGATGGCGGTGACACTCGGAGGTGCAGTGGCGTAGGCAGAGCTGCTGGGTGGCAGAAGGACTGGTCATCGAGTCCCTTGCCAAAAGCGGTACAAAAAATTCTTTTGAGATTAAAACGAATTTTGCAAATCATTCCCTAGATACCTTTGACAGGCAAGAAAGGAAGCGTTCTTCCTTAAGAACACACAGGATGCTCTTGGGGTGGGTTTCCCTTCATTCGTCATTTACAGTTTCAGTTCTCCTGTGTCTCCACTCTGCTCAAATGTCCTTCTGTCCCTCCCATCCTATGCTTAATAAAAGAACATGCTTAAATATGATCACCTGAAGTTTGCACTGTTTCTTTTCAATGTTCGTTTCAGTTTTTTTGTTTTTGTTTTGTTTTTTTAGAAAAGAAATCTAGAGGAAAAATAAAGCGCTTCTTGTAGACGCCAGGAAAACACCATTCTTGTTTCTTCTCTGAGTTTGTGTTTTGTTTTTGTGCTTTGTGGCTGTCTGTGGGCCAAGTTGTCTCACGCGATTAGCATGCCAGCATCGTATTTTCTGTTGAAGAAAGAAAGAAAAGAGAAATGACTATTGTTTAATTTCACCTTAAGATGTTTTGTTATTACTTATAGTGGGTTATTTCATGCTCTATGGCTTGCTCCCCCTGTAATTACCAAGTACTTAGTGATTAGAGGGCATCTGTATGTAGCAGAACGGGGCCGTTTGGAGGCTCTCCTCCACTCAGCCCTTTTCATATACACCGTGGTTTCCAGACTGTGCCAGCCAGGACATGAGAAAGTCCACTCTGGCAAGATGGAGAGGCTGCTTTTGATGAAATTCCAGGAAGGTGGAGGAGGGGGACGTGTGTCATTGTTCCTCCTCCTGATAACGGCAGCTGCAGGTCAGGCAACATCATGCAGCTCTAAGTGCAGTCTAGTCAAACACCACCACTCTCCAGGGGCCCGCAGCCTGGCCACATCCTCCCATCTGGCTGCATCCCCCCTTACAAAATCCTTATTATCGTAGGACCTTTAAAACTGTGAATCAGATAATGTCACTTTTCTGGGCCAAACCCTCCAATGCTTCTAAGGTGGATCATTTGCAAAAGCAGTCACCAGACTTCCCCTCTCAGTTTCCAGACCTTGGGAGGCTCCCTCCCATGCTCACGCTGACCCTGGCCACGTGATTAGCACTGGCCAATTTGAAAAGTACTTGTACGCTGGGACTTGCTGCTCTTTGGAATCCCACAAGCTCCATCATAGGAAGGAGCCTGCTGAATGATGAGAGGCACAAAGTCGCTACCTGAACTGGCGTCAGGCTAACCAACAGACATGAGAGTGAGGCCACCTGCACGACCAGCCCCAGCCGAGCCACCCAGATGAGAAGAGCCTCCCCAGTCAACCCACAGACTGCAAAAAACTAATACTAAAAGTTTGTTACTTTAAGCCACTGTTTCAGGATTACTTGTTACACAGCAAAAGCTAACTGATACAGCTTCTCATCTCACTGAATAAAGTCCCAATTTGTTACCATAGTTCTCTTATAATCTGTTCTCCAGCTGACTCTCTGATCTCATGACCTAGCACTTTCTCCTTATCCACTAGAAGCCACTTTAGACTTCCTGAGTTCCTCAAACATGCCGACCACACTCCCGACTCAAGGTCTTTATACTTGCTGTCCCGTCTGCTGAAATGCTTTTCTTCGGCATGTCTGTCTTCCTCACTGCTTTCTGCTCTCTGCTCACGTTACCTCTCCCTGATGAGGTGACCTTCACGGTGTCACTTCTCCCCCTCCCCTGTACCCTCTACTTTTCTCCACAACGCTTAATCCCATTGGACACATTGTGTCTATTTCTTCCTCTTCACCCCCTATAATATAAACCCTATGAAATCTGTCTGCTCTCCTCGCAACTTGGCCACGATGCCTTGAACTGCCCCATCACATAGTAGGCTTAATAAGTAACCATTGGAAAAAAGAATGATTCTTGGTGGCTAGGCTTTATGTTCATGAAAATAATTTCCATCATTGTGAGAAGGATGTGCTAAGCAGGCTACAACATTATGTCTTATTTTTAATGTGACCTCAATCCCGCCAGGCTGCCCTCCTCCCATTTTATGGAAATGGAAACTAAGAGTTCTCTTAGTTTGCCGTGGTCCCTGCAGCTCCTGGTTCGTAGAGCTGCGATTCTCACCAGGGCTGTTTGATTTCAAGGTCATGCAGCGTATTGGGCTGTTTGATTTCAAGGTCATGCAGCGTCTGCACCAAGGCCACCGCTCCTTCCATAAGCTGAGAATAACTGTTTCGATAGGATGCACCGTTTTAAGGTCTCGGCTGAGCAGAGAGGTGACTTTATGCGTTTGACTCTAGCTAAGCTTTAAGTATTTGGTGAAAGTGGAAGTTAAATCAGGGCGCAGAAGACATTGGAGTCTCGTCAGCCAAGGTGATGTCCAAAATATCAACAAGAACCAAGGGAGGATCTGCTGCTGCCCGCCTCCGTGTGCTGTCTAGGGCCGCTGTGCTGACTGATGGCCACGTGCGTCTTGCGTCAGGCTGGTAAGTGAGGCCGGGGGGAGCTTTGCAAGGGGCGATGAGGATTCCCCCAAGTCAAGGAGCTCCCTAAGTCACACAGACCAAGTCTTTATGCATTCATCCATTCATTCAACAAACATGCCAAGTGCTGTATTCTGGAAATTCAAAGTTTAAAGTAAACCCCTCCACAGTCCCTTCTATAAAGGAATTTGTATCTTGAGTCTATGGGAGGCCTCACAATGCACAAGGTCCTAATCGACTTTACCAAAAGTTCTCTAGGTCACTTGAAGATGAACTGAGGCCCCAGAATAACAGCCCACCCAGTCAGATGCTGCCAATCCCTGTGGACCATCTTCCCCTGCCAGACATTAATTTTACTTCTTTGGCCAATTCTGTGGAAAATTCCTAGACAGATGATCAAGTAGGTGGCATAATTCCTGTAATCCCTATTTTAGTGTATTATAAGGCCAAGGCTATTTCTCACCATCTGTCATGATATGTATCTACATATGTATGTACATGTATGTACACACATGCATATGTACAATACATGATGTATGTAAATATGCATCACATATATACACATATAGTGTTCATATACACGTGTGCATTTATACACACGTATATATAGATAGTCCCTAACTTACGGTGATTTATGATTTTTCAACTTTACAATGGTGGGAAATTGATACACATTCAGTAGAAACTGTACTTCAAGTACCCCTACAACCACTGTTTTTCACTCTCAATATAGTTTTCAATAAATGACATCAGATACCCAGTACTTTATTATAAAACAGTCTTTGTATGCCCAACTGTAGGTTAACATAAGTGTTCTGAGCATGTTTACGGTAGGCTAGGCTAAGCTATGATGTTCAGTAGGTCAGGCGTATCAAATGCATTTTTGACTTACAATATTTTCAGTTTACAATAGGTTTATCAGGACATAAGCCCATCATAAGTCGAGGAGCATCTGTGTACACGTATATATTTGTAGCATACACTTCATGTGATAACGATCCCACCCTGTCATCACCACTGCTACTAAGAGAGCAGACACTATTCACTGGGCATTTGCGCCGTGCCAGTTAGTGGTTTAGGGCAATCACACCCTCCTTTTTATTTTGGGCTCACTGGATGGAGCTGAGGTGTAGAGAGACAACGTGCTCTCTCCACAGCCCCACGGCGGGTGAACAGCAGAGGCAGGACGTAAACCCATCTCCATTCACTTTGAAGCCCACGTGCCTTCCACAACACACCACTCTTTTGCAGGTGGCTGTAGATCAGCAATATATGCACATTAAATTTATTCAGAGGGTGAAGGAAAACTACTTGGCTTCCTGCTTCAGAATGGGATCTGGCTTTCCTCCTGACACCCAGATGCCCGGTGTAAACTTCACAAATTGTTTTTATTCGTGCCATTTATCCAGCAATACTGGCTTGAGCCCCAATTTCCCAGTAGACCCCTCTCCTATTCTGACTATAAATAGGTCCCTGCCTGGCCTTGCTGCCCTGGGCTTAGCTTCTAATGCACTCAACGTCCAGAGCTCTCCACCATTGCCCCAGTGCTGCAGAATCCACCCAAACAGGAAGAGTGAGAGTTACTCTAGAGTCATTTTCTTCCGAGTCCCTCTCTCCCTAAGTTTCTTTAAACCCAAGAGGCAGCCGGTTTCCACTTTCACGCCTGATTAACGGAGACCTCGCTGCAACTTATCAATAGGAAACAAGAAATGGAAGCATCCCCCAGCAATGACTGAAGCCTGTGGCTTGTGGTTTTGCTCTTTAAAATGGGGTTATGAGTGGTTTTGTTTTGAACTTCAATGAAGGAGGCCTGACTACTTTCATCAAGGTCAACGCTAGGCCAGAAGGACTTGGCTTGCAATCTCCCTGCCCATTCTGGTCACCAGCGGGTATCATTTTTAGAAGCTTATGTAAAAAAAAAAAAAAAAAAAAATCTAAAATAGCAATACTCACCCTGTATATTAACTCTTTGTGCTTTTCAACATATCCAAACTAGTTTGGCTGAAGTCGTTTTAAAATACTAAGTCATATCATGAAATATTATCCACATCATCACTGAAAAAACTGCTCTCAGTTGTGTCCATTGATGAAATGATGCAGCAACAATGAAAGTAATTTTCAGAAAGAAAAGGAAAGACTCACAATACCCCTAATTTCAACACAGACATTATCATCTTTTCTTATTCCCTTTCGAGTCTTTATGGTATTTGGTTTTATGGCTCCCCTTCCCCTCCCCAATCATCTTATTTCTCAAAGTTTTCACAATTATTTCAGTAGATGCCTAATAGATCAAGTAAGTGATGGACCATCATTTGAAAACCCATCCCCTGCTATGGGGCATTCAGGCTATTTCTAGTTTCTGCTGTTAGAACCAATGGTTCAATTAGTATGTTTGTGTATACAGCTTTTTCCTTCTACGAATTCACCTCCCCAGCATACAGTTGCAGAGGTGGAATCACTAGATCCGAGAGCTTACTGGGGTTTTGCCGCATGGTGCCATGATACCAGCTGCGAGGGTCATACCAGTGGAACGTGCACATTTCTGTTTGTTTACAAGCTTCTCAACATCGGGCGTTGCCAGTGCAAAATTTTTTCATCCTATTTCCACAACCTATAACTACTTAATATAATATTCCCAAGCAGCCAGGCTCCTTATTTAAAGTATCAGCTTTTTGCCTTTCATTATCCCACAGGACCGAGTTCACAATTTTAATTAGAGTGGAAATTCAGAGTGAGTCTACATTCGGTTCAGGTGGAAAAAAAATCAGTCCAGCCAAGCCGCT